CCCAGAGTATCACAGATGTTCATATTGATGACCCAGAGTTGTCCAGAAATGATGAAAGAGAATATATTCACTATACTCTGTATTAGAAGGCAAGGAATGATTCAGTACATCGAAGAAACTTGCCCCTAAAACTTCAAAACATATTTGGTGTTTTAAAAGAGTAACTCAATGTGCGTTGATAAATGTTGAACAACTGGCTTTGTGGAAACAAAACAAACAAACCTGATTTGCGGTGTTTGCTGATTTTAATGATGTAAATGCCATGACCAGTTTTAAGCTACCAATGTGATTTCACTGAAAGCGGAGTTGGGAGGAGATGCAGAGTAGCAAACCATTGTATAGTATTGCCACCATATATATACAACAGATGTAAATAATCTCAAGTGCATAGATAACAGTAAACTATAAAATAATCTGGAAGTGATGAGTTTTTAGTATTTATTACCTTTGTCTTAAGTATGATTTGCTTAATTGTAAATTTATATAATTTCACTTTATATAATGACTTTATTTAACAGTTGGCTTACAAAATTCTTGAAAATTTAACAACTGGTATAAGCTGGCTGTAACATACTAGTAACTACTATAATACTTTCAAGAGTTGTGAATAGTTAAGGATTTTTTAAAAATTTTGCGCTCATATTTATAACATCATGTGGTCATAGAGACTATATGTGTCTTATGCACCAATGTGTGTCTAGTACCTAGCACAGTGCCCGATGTGTAGTAGGGACTTAATAAATAAATATTGTTGAATGAATAAATGAATTGAAATACATAAGATGTAGTGTTGTTTTGGTATTCTAAAGCACAGTAATACACAATACAAAGGTATCTAGTTTCATTAACAACGGCTACAACTATATATTAAAAAATTCCCACTTAATATGTATAAATCTGCTACTAATCAGACTCTGCAACTCGGGAAAACAGCCAAGTCTGGAGTAATGAAATAGGAGAGGCAGAGGAGAGTGGATAAAGAAACATGCAGCTCAATTTTATGTGAATTTTTTTTCTTACATGAGAGGGAAGGAGGAATAGTAAGAATTTGGGAAAATTCAAATTGGTATCAAGAAATATAACAAGTTATTTTGTCACTAGATCCAGGAGTGGAGTCAACAGAAAAAAAGATTAAAAAAAAAAAA